GAAAGAAAGAAACGAGATGAAATCAGGAAAGAGAAATGCCAGGAGCCAGAAGGTGAATCTTGGAATATTAAAAGAGTGTGAAATGTTTTCCTTTAGTTGATACAGGGTATAACATTTCACCAAAGATCGATAATCGATAGCTTCAGCAGGATCGGAGGATCTACCAACAGTTCAGTGGAAAGGCTTTAGAGCTACTCAACTATTATGAGCAAAGACAAGGTCCAATATATGCAGAAGTCTGGATAAATATTTTACATGCAATCATGAAAATATAACCACCAATCTGAGTACTACATTGAGTTGCTATATGTCCCCTAACTTACCCTACAGTTAGTCGAGGAAATGCACTTACAGGAATTCATCGCCAGGACCTGTATTTTCTTTCATTATACTTTTTTTTCTTAAAGTTGCTGAATGGCTGAAGTTTTATCCCATGGAATAAACAACGAAATAAGGATAACAGCTGATATGGTAATCAAGTAGACGAAGTTTCAAAATGGAAATGTCCGGGGCCGGATGGAGTGCAAAGATAATGAAATATTTGCCAGGATTACACGAAAGAATAGTGCAAATGGATGGAATGGACGAAATGGACGAGCACGGAGGGGGGGGGGCAGTTCTTCCCGAAAGTGATGCTGGAAAAAAATAATGAGTCTTGAGTTGGAAAAGACATGGATTTTGTCAGTGAGGTCGATAAAGAACTGAAACACAGAGTTAACATCATGTGCAGAATTATGGCAAAGATCAGGAAAAAATAAGAAACAAGGTGGAAAACAAAGATTGAATAACTGCAAAGAGAAAGCAATGTATATAATGACAATAAAAACAACAACAATAATGGTAATGATGATGCTCATAATGATAATAATGTAATAAGACTGCAGGAATTATGATAAATGACAAAAAAATGAGTAAAAATAAGAGTAATGTGTAATTACAGCAATACAAATAGGCATGTTTGTTTAGATATGCCCATGCATACAAGACCTACAAGTACCATCACATATGTGCGTGTATATCTGCATGTGTACTTTACTCAGTATCCATGTTCCATTCCAGTTGATTCCGGTCAGATGTCAAAGCCGTTAATGGAGGCCGAACAGATGCGTCAACAGGTGGTAAGAGACGTGCGTTACACTTGGCAGTTCTTGAAGTTCCACCTGAGGAATCTTAATTCGAACACCAATTCTAGCACTGTTCATGAAGATGTGGAACATTACTTTAGGTAGGTTTTAGCTGTCAGTAATCCAGTGTTCATCCTTTAAAATAAAGACATGCAAACTTGTTTTTTGTGTTGTGAAATCCTATAGTCATTAATCAAACCAGTCGATAATTTAACATTTGTTTTGCGATTTATATAATTCCGAAATGCACCATACTGAAAGTCCTCCAGGTGTAGTAGGATAATTGAGTCCCCACTGTTTGCAGAGCGACCTCCCACGACCTCACGCGCCTTGGCGAGGTCGACGGGTTTCAGGAGTGGCGGGAGGAGGAGGCCGCCGCCCTTAGCGCCCTCGTGCAACATCGGCTGCACGTCCTGCAGAATCCTCGCGACTGCGCCTCCGCCAAGAAGATCTACTGTGACTTTAAAGCGCAGGCAAGTAAAGTACTTACAATGGTTATAGTTTCTATTTCATGTGTTATCCTTCATGTCAAAACGAGAACGTTTGGAGATTTTTTCTTGACAAATGCAACTATTGTACTTTGAAATTGCACAGAAAATACTACAGAGTAGTGCTACAAGTTATCTCTAAAAGTAGTTCCAGAGTCAAAGGAAAACTTAAAACCAGTGTTATAGATATCACCTTTCAATTTCAAGACTTTCAATTTCAATTTCGTGTTTTATGAAACCATGTCCATTACAGGGCCGAGGTATGGGGAGCCATCTGCACCACCTGAGCTACTGTTTCCTGGCATCATATGGCACTCAGCGAACCTTGATTCTGAACACGAAGGGTTACAATGGCAACCCCAAAGGACTGGAAACATTCTTTCTTCCTCTCAGCGAGACCTGCACGAGTTACAGCAAGTCTCAGATGGCTCCTTGGCCAGGTGAGAGAATGTGCAAAAGCAGTGTTGACTGTTGTCTTACCGTGGTGAAGGGGGCAGAAAGTTGTACACCTGGTGTAGAGTGCTTAATACCTTGATGTTATATCGTTTTATGACGAGTATAGGACTGTACAAAAAGTTTAACAATAATATATGCATCAAATGAGGATGCAAAATATCCAGACACTCTTAAGGGGTAATATGATTCTCACAGGAGTCACCTCACGAATCTGCTTGCAGGAAAGAAAGATTCGCTTGTTGTACATTTCCCGGATTGGGACAGACCGAACCCAAGGCCGAAATATTTTCCAAAATCAATCCCGAAGGACATTTCCAAGCGTCTGATGCGTCTCCACGGGGATCCTTTTGCCTGGTGGATAGGCCAGTTCTTCAAGTATGCCATGAGGATGAACAAAGATTTCCAGAATTACACTGACAACCTAGCGCGAGAAATGGGTTACGAGTCTCCTGTTGTAGGGTAAATATCCTTTTAACATAGTTCAAACAATGCGGCTAAATATAACTTTATTTTACCACCTACTGCTTGTTCATAATTGAGTGTTCTCCATATTTCAGCTTGCAGATTCGGCGGTCAGACAAATTGCAGAAGGAAGCAGTTTACATTGACCTCAGTGTGTACATGGAAGAAGTGGATGGATTCTACAAAGAGCTGGAGTTGCGTCAGACCGTTGCTCAACGAAGGATTTTCTTGGCCACTGACGATCCAGAAGTAATTCCAGAAATAAAGAAGAAGTAAGTAGGAAAATATTCAGGAAGAGATAAAGAGAGACATATATGGGTGCAAGCAGGAAGACAAAAACATAGGAAGAAAGAACCAGGTAGACAGACACAAAAATATTCAGAAATCAGTTCCTGATTGGCTGTGTGGCTCTTTAGAATGGAAATCTCTCATCATCTGTCTATTGTCAAATGTCTGTGATAGTTAACGCATGTCTAACTTCAAACACTTGCATCTAGAGCATTACTCTTGTTACGTCATGTTCAGGGCGTGGTTTTCTGTCCAATTAGCGCACAAAGAATTATTTCGACATAGTTATTGTAACTACAAAATCAAGCAGTTTTGCTTTCATCACAAGTGATGGAAATCCTGTCCTTTGCAACATCTTAGGAGATTTCATCACAATGGAGATGGTTGCTATAACATCAGTATAACAAATTGAATTGAAGGCCTCCCGCTGAGGTGTGCCTAGTACTCTAATACTGACCTTGAAAGCTGATCCTAACAGACCTCTCTCTGGATCACTAATTAAACCAGCTCACATGTCTCCATTCAACAACAGCAGAACCCTTGTAACCTGGGCCCTAACCCTAACATGGAGAATTTCTACAGAGGTCGGATCATTTCCTTAATCGTTTTCTCATGCTACGAAGAGATGCTCTTTTAGCATTAGGGTAAAGCAACGTCAGCCTTTTCCAATACTAAGCTAGGATTTGGAGAAATTTCTAAGGCCCAAGGAAACTGCATAGGACCTACTGCCATTTACACACAATTTTCGTTATTTTTAGTCATTGTTATTTCCATTACTTTTATTATTAGTGTTGCTATCGTAAGTATTTAATCATTATTGTTATAATTATTATAATATTTCTTGTTATCATCATTGCTGTTATCATTATTACTGTTATTTCTGTCATCATCATATCATCATCATAGTTGTGCGAATTTCATAACCATTGGTAAAAATAATCGCAATAATGATGCTAAGATAAAAATAGATGAATAAATGACGAGGATAATGATCATGAAAATACTGATGAAAATGATGCTTTTGCCAATGATGACAGATAGACAGAAAATGAAGATAATGACAAGACAATAACAAATTAAAACCAACAAATCTACAATACTAGCTTTCCTGATATTCCACATTCTCCCTTCTCCTTCATAGGTACCCGGAGTACAAGCTCCTGTACAACCCGGCCAGCGTAGACTCGACGCGCAAAAGCCAGCGGAAAAAGGGGCCGAGTGTACAATATTTTCTCGCTGATGTTTACTTCCTGTCGCGATCCGACTACCTTGTCTGCGGGATGACCTCCAATGTAAGAAAGAGGGAGGAGGGAGGGTGGGAGAGGGAGAGAGAGGGAGGAAGGGAGGGAGAAGATAGGGAAATATATTTATATATGTATATCAGTTACTGATATATGCATATATTTCCATAAATCTATATTGAGAGTATATTTATCTGTATATGAATTTATAACACACATATATATACATATGTATATTTCTATCTGTCTATATCTATAAGTGTGATTTAGACAAACACACACGCTGCGTGTATATATTTCCATGAAAAGAGATGCTCCTTCACCATTAGGATAAGTCATAAGTCAGCCTTTTCCAGGAAGTGGAGAAATCTTCCAAAATCTAAGGACAAGGGAACTGCACTACTACTATTTACACAGAATTTTCGCTATTCTTAGTGACTGTTATTTCCATTATCATTACTTTCATTGTTATTAGTGTTGCTATCGTAAGTATTGAATTACTGTCATAATTATATTTTTTCTTGTTATCACCATTGCTGTTATTATTATTATTACTATTATCATTATTATTATTATTATTGCTGTTATCATCACATCATAATCATGATCATAGCTGTGCCAATTTCATAACAATTGGTAATTATAATCGCAATAATGGTGCTAAGAATAAAAATGAAAATGGCGAGGATAATGATCATGATAATAGTCCCTGCTGATGAAAATGATGCTTTTGCCAATGGTAACAAGACAACGACAAAATGAAATAATAAATCTACAATACTAGCTTCCCTGACATTCCACATTCTCCCCCCTCCTCCATAGGTACCCGGAGTACAAGCTCCTGTACAACCCGGCCAGCGTAGACTCGACGCGCAAAAGCCAGCGGAAAAAGGGGCCGAGTCTACAGTATTTTCTCGCTGACGTTTACTTCCTGTCGCGATCCGACTACCTTGTCTGCGGGATGACCTCCAATGTAAGAAAGAGGGAGGAGGGAGGGTGGGAGAGGGAGAGAGAGGGAGGAAGGGAGGGAGAAGATACAGTTATATACACATATTTTCATAAACAATAATTGAGAGTATATTTATCTATATATTAATTTTAACACGCGCGCGCGTGTATATATTGATGTATACATGATATATAAATATATGTCAGGGTCCCATCTATGGAGTAAATGGAAATAAGGGTAGAGGGCACCCTTTAGCCTTGGCTAGCAACCCTTCTAGTGTCTCAATAAAACACTGCCATGGAAGGCAACTGGAAATATATATTCATATATATACACATATAAGAAAAAATGATAACACAAAGAAAGTGATATTGTCATATCTCCATTACAAGATCTGCAGGCTGAGTTACGAGCTGATGCAGACCCTTCATGTTGACGCGTCGACCCGCGTCTCGTCGGTCGACAGAGATTACTACTTCCACTATGAGGTCGGAAACGTTGTCAAGGCTCGTTTTACTCATAAGCCCACAAGGTTTGTAAAATGTTATTAAAATTCTCCATTGCTTTATTTTATTTTTCTATTATATATCAAAATTCAAGACAGCTAATTATAATTTGTTGAGGAAGGAGCTAGATAGAGGATAGATGGTTTCCAAACTGTGTCTGACTGAAATTATCATTTGTATTTCCCAAATACAGACAGTAGTTAATGAAAGGACATAGCAGTACTGAACACCTTTGTTATAGCTTGATTTTAAGATCGGAATTCTCATGGCGGTCTCCTCATTATATATGTTTCTTCCATGAACAGGACCGGAGAACTAGAAATGCAGGAAGGAGATCTGGTGGACCGAATCGACATACCTATTGATTTCTCCAAACATCCCAGCAAAAACAATGGGTTTCAGTGGGGCACGAACACGCGTACCAAAAAATCAGGTTATTATCCTGTTTACAAGACCGTCGAAATTTTGGAAAAAGCAGATGTCCAGTCCTTTGAAAACATTGACAGAATGAGGAAAACCGAATAATTGTTACTATCGTTTTAAGGGTTAAAAGTTAAAAATAAATGTGCTAGGTTAGAGAATTGTTCGTAATTATGCATATATTAGAGATCGTAAGATCCATATCTATATCACCATAAAGAGAATCAAGGTAATTGCTTGGAGAGCTGTCTTGGAATCAACAACACTCCGATCGAGTCTACTGAACGGCACATTCATGGCTAGCTATTCCAAACTACAAGGTAGCAAAGTTAAACAAGATAGTGGAAATGTTTGTAAACTATCTTTGTGTTTATGATTTGTCTGTCTCAGCTCAATTTTTCATTGTGATTTTTATTTGGTAATATTAATTTTTTGTGTGTAAAAGCTACTTGTTTACTTGAATATTGTTATAGAAGAGCCAGATTAAATATTTTAATGGGGAAGTGCGTAGAAGTAAAACAATAAGAAAATTTGAATATACAATATCGCAACCAAAGTTTGTAAGGCTGGTCATTCAGAATGTTTAAAAGTATATTCAACAGTATTTTGAGTGTTTTTTTTTTTACAGTTCTGAAATAAAGTAAAAATGAATTTATATATATCTTTTTCTGTGAGGATATAATCTCTAATCTCTTTCCTACTTCGACTATCACGAAACATGGATATAAAAGTGTGAACATAATAGAAAAGAGACGTGCCATTAAAAGTTTGTGAGAGAAAGGACAGTGAGGCTCATAGTTATAACAGCGTATATCCAAATTTACTATAAATTCCTATTCAGAAGAAGAGGGAGTAATTATGGCTAGCACAAGAATCGATGTAAACAGTATTACTGCCGACATCGAAGGAGTACAGAGCGAAAAGCAATTTGATTTCCCTTTGTCAAGTTTAACAGATTCTCTTGATTGCCACAGATGCCGTACTGTTTGGTTCTTTATTAAATAGAACAGATCACAGATTTAGAAATTCAATCCAAGATAAATGCTAAAGAAGTATATATGGTCATAATCAGTGTTGCCTTCTTGGGATTTTTTCATACCGTAAGCTATTTAAAAACTATTTAAGTGGAATAAAAAAGAAACCTCACTGCTACTTTACACACACATACGTATATATACATTACTAATCGATTTTCTCTTCACAACTCTTGAATTCATAACATGGTTTGGATCCCCAACCATTTTTGTTAATATTATCCCATTAACTGACTGCAATGAGATGGTTTCTCATTCGAGTTTCAGAAAGTATATATTTTTTCTTTTACTCATTTTGTAGTAAATGATATGGGTAAATTGTATTTCTTAATATGTGTGCAAGGTATGGCCGGATTTCCCATCCACTGGCGGTGCGAAATCTGAAAGCAGGTTAGGAAGATTGCTGGACGAGAACGTTACCGGTGATGAAAGTTTAACAATTAGTCTGAGAACACCATTGGACCAGCATACCTCAAATTTAAATTGTCAGCCACAGATCAATTAAGACGCAGTTTTAAATCACTGTTATTCACTGTTGAACTTTTCATCCTGTCAAAGTGTTGCCGTGGACTGTCATTCCCAGTACAGACTACAGAAATAGAGACGATTGAAGCTGGTGGATGTGCCTCGTGCAAACACTCGGTCTTCCATTTTCCTGATGCTGATAGGCCAGAACCATGATATAGGCTGGAACCCTGACCAGGCGTCTTCCAAGAAAATAGAGCGGCAGTGTAAAATTTTGAAACTTGATGCTTCTCCTTTCATCTTGAACTGCCACCCGGTTTGTATATTTGTATATGAGACAATTTTTCATCTGATATGCTTTGACATGTCTTGCATTATTGTTTGTAGTGGTACCTCGGAAGCGGAGAAGCCTTTGTGAGTGAAAGGTAGAGAAAGAGAGTTTTTAATTTCAATATCAATTTATCAGAAATACTTCTTCGTTTATACTTTTCAAGTTTACTGATGTTACACGTATTTCAATGATTTTACAATACTGCGAACAATGTCACGGCTCTATTTCTATTGTTTCTGTTTTTGCATTTTTTAAAAATTTAATTCCTGAATTGTATTGTTGTCGAAGCTGAAGTCCGTGTAAGCCTGAGGTGCACAGTCTTGTTCCAAGAGGAACGCGGGAAGATCATGAAAATCCATCCATCCTCACATTTAAGCCTACATACACATGTAATCACATAAGATGCATGCATATTAACTTTACCACTTCCACATTTTCAGTTCATGTGAATGACATGAGAGCATAGTGTGGTAATTGTGACTCCGTAGCCGATATTAATCTATTTGTGATGGGTTCTTTATCAAGTTGATTCCCAAGGAGTGGTAGCGTGAACGGAAACCAACTGATTCCCCGAATATACAGTTCGGCATTTATCGTATGAAGATATGTTCAATAACTTATTTAAACAGAATAAAACAATGGAAAAGGTTATTCATACTCAGTAACACTCACAAGCTTAGTATAAGTTGCAGAATCTATAAAAACTGTTTTATATTTAATATTTAAATTAAAGAATCACGTCCAGCTCATATATACAAAGGAAATAGTCAGGAAAACAGGACTTAACTTGCATTTCTCCCGTGTGATGTGACGCCCAGACTTGCCGAGTTTTCCACCTTCCGTTCAGCAAGGAAAATCCCCCAGGAGGAGAGTAAAACGTCGTAGTTTCGAGGGGAATGAATATTTCCCGCACAACGCGGCTTATATTTATAACTTTCGTGACGTCACAACCCACGCCAAACATCGTAGAAAGATAAAACATAAAAAAATACACACTTACGGTTGAAGTAGACGAAAGAAGTACAATAGATAAAATGTGACGTTAAAACAGATTCCTCTTAAAATAAGAATAAGCTTCCGTGGACAGAAAAAGTGACATAAAATAACATACAAAAATAGAAGACAATTTAAAATGATATAAGTAACCGTGAAGCTCACAGAAGAAGCGAGAAATAATTTGCGAATAAAGGAATCGCAGATTAGAGGACGGGATCAAAGGGCAAACTCAAACAGAAGTGACCTAAAAGACCCAAAATACATAAAACAACAATAAAACAGAAATAAGTAAACGCATGTACTTATAGACAGAGAGGACGACTGCAGCAAGTGTTGACCGGGCTGCGAGATGTCAGGGCCCGCGAGAGTAAAGGAGGCTGGCGGTGAGATGAGGAAGAGATGGCAGGCTGTGGGATGCCACCTTACAATAGCAATGGTCAAAATGAATAAAAAAGAGCAGGAGGAAAAATTGGATTACTGACACGGACTGAGTTGAAAGTAAATTTTAAAATCCTTCCTGTTGTTTCTGTCTAATAGCCAGCAGTCACATTATGCGCGTTCTCAATATAATTTGCATTGTCATTCAAAGGGGATTTGTTTTTGCCAGCCATGGAGACGCGTTTCAGGTAATAGGAGATAGCATAAGGAACAAAGCAAGAAGTTTAACATTACTAAGCTATGGTGTTATCAGTACTCTTTCTCACAATATGTCTATGCATGCTGATACACTTGTCTCCCCAGATACATATCCTAGTTAAAGAAATAAGTTTCTCCTCAATATGTAACATGGTTAGCTTTTTAATGTAAAGAAGTAAGCAGTTTCGCACACCAGAGAAGTATGTATGAAATGAAAATCCCAGAGATGTTACACATTATATACCGGTAAACTTGGTTTGAGTTGAATCATCTCCGCCATGCAGTGAAATCTAAAATTCTACGTCGGTATCCGTCCTGCTTACCGAGTCAACAACAATGAAGTTAAAACCTGGCTTTGGGGACGTGTTGTTCCTGGCCGATATTCCGTGCGCAGTCCACGGTTGCAGTGGTCTGTGGTATTATGCATCTATCAAGCATTTATTTGCTATAGCTTATTGATAGTGCGTGTATGTGTGTATTTATATATGTATAAATATATTTGTGCATGTGTATATTTATATATGTATACATATAGACATATATTTGTGTGTGTTTTAATGTGTCTGTCTGCCTTTCTTTCACACTCACTAATACACACATATATGTCTATATATGTATATGTATATATATGTATATGTATATACATGTGCATATATATATGTGTGTGTGTGCGTATGCGTACACAAATTATAAATATATAATATCCTGAATCACGCTGCGACAGAGATTATTTCCATTACGAGGTCAGAAATGTCATGGCTCGCTTCCCGCATAAGCCAGAGGGTTAGTGAAGTGTTTCTTACAGTTGCTTTTTTAAAAATTGTGATTAGATATAAACACGGTCGAGCGAAGTCGAAGTCTTTTCTGAACAGGGCAGGAGAAATTGAAATGCAGAAAGAAGAATTGATGGACCGCTACGACATACCTGCTAATTTTGCCAGCCACCCATGCAAAAACGACGGGTTTCAGCGGAGCACAAACAAACGGACGAAAAAGGGGGGGTTTCTATCTTACTTACAAGATCATCCTGGATGTAACACATGTACAGTCCTTTAAGCACAATGGCAAAATGAACAAGATCATATGGGCATTAGAAAATATGGGACTGAGGATATCCTTCGTTCATTGCTACACACACTCTCACCTACATATGAATATATGTATTTATACGCATGAATATATGTATTTATACACACACACACACACACACACACACATATATATATGACACAAACACGTATACACAAAGATGAAAGGAAAACTGCCACAGTAAGAAATGAAATTGAATCGTAACGTTTCGAACTCTTCACGAGTTCTTCTTCAGATGAATGAAATACCAAAAATGGATCAATAGATCTACATATATATATATATATATATATATATATATATATATATATATATATATATATATATATGTATGTTTTACATATATATGTATATTTAGTCATAACGTAAATGTATATTCTTACATATGAATATGTATATTTATACATATGAATATATGTATATTTATACATATGAATATATGTATATTCATATGTACATTACATATGTGTGCGTGTGTATGTTAAGAGTAACGCTACATTGCGCCTGAGGCCTGGATTAACTAAACTCTCTCGTAAACGCTGTCTCCCGTAACAGTTACGAGAAGTATCAACGATATCAACTAGCGACGTTACGACTCATTTTTGAATGTCAGATAACGAGAGCGTAGGGGTCTTGTAACCGTTACGACCGTATTTACTATCGCTAGGTATCGTAGGGCTTGACTTCCTAAAAGAACAGCTTGGACGACCAATCAGCGTTAGCTCGGGAAAAAAATCGACCAATCACAGAGCGTTAACCTGAGGCAGCACTAATACCAGTTTCTTGATTAAACAAGATTTCTAAAATGATATTTCATTCAATAAGGTAAATAAAGGAAAGTCATGAGACTTTAATACCAGCAAATGTCTTTTTTTCTAGTTAGAGTCAGGTGCTATGGGTCACTTTCATCAGTAAATGCCGCTATTAATCTTCACCACCTTTATCAATAAACTCATAAATGCATAACACATACAAGTCTATATAAAAAATACACATATATGAATACACTCACACATATATAAATATGAACACACACATACATACATATTGCACTTTTATCACATTTTTTTAAAAATATAAGTAAAAAGCATTTCATTATACTTTCATAAAGAGAGTATGATACACGACAACAAATTTGTTAAAATTATCATTTAGTCATCAGTAAGGTAATCCCTTGCTTCTAGAATAATATTATATAAGGGTATTACGAGATGTGCTTATATATTGAAAATCTTTGTTATTTAATATTTATTATTTGTTGCTCTAGAGAAAAATAGTCATACTGATGGAAGTTATACATTTTCATTCAAAATTCGTTGCTGATGATGTGCCAGAACTCCTTTGATTCTTGATAAACTAAACTTGTTGAGTGATTTGCATTTGGGCCCCATTAAGTGTTTCCGCGGCCTCCGCAGATCGGCAAAGGCTATCCTTATTTACATTAGCCATATTATTTTTTTCTGTTACTATGCCACCTCGATGTACTGCTGTTACACGTTAATTGATTTCACCAAAGAAAAGTCACCGCTGCACACACTTGAAGGTGTTTATGAGGCTGATATGAGCAGAGGAGGGTCGCCCGAAGAATGTGGTTTAGGGCACCCGCAGAAGTTCTCGTACGGAGGTGTGTTTACGACCTTGGAAGTGTTTTGAAAATGCGTTCGTTGCGAGGAATGAGGATGTAGCTTGATTTACGATATAAACAAACCTCAAACGATTTCGTAATGTACGTTAGTAAATCCGGCCACTGAGCTATACCTTTTCAATTGATCAAATAGAGCGTTTCCTCAATTACATTCCATGTAACAGTCATCATTAGCCCATCTACAGTCGCTGGTGCCTACTGATCATTTTGTAAACATGGCATTTTCAACTCGGGAGATGAAGACGAAATGAGTAATCATGGTCCTGTCACTTTACTTTTTGTGACATCTAGTGTTAGAGAAAATCTTGTTTTTTGTTCGTTTGTTTATTTCTCATTAGTATTCTCATTGCCATGATTAGTTTTGTTGTTGCTGTCGTTGTTCTTTACAAATATTATCATCTTTGTGTTTATTATTTTGATTATTATTATTATCATCATCATCATTATTATTATCAGCATCGTCACTATTATTATTATTATCATTATCATTATTATTTGCAGGATAACAATTCTCATAATTGCCATTATTATTATTGTTATTATTATTATTATTATTTGCATAATAACCATTTAATCATTATCATTATTAGTAGTATAATAATTTTCCTTATAAACATCGTCATTACTATTATGATTATCAATAATCTCAAGTTTAATAATAATGGTGATAACAATAATGAAAAGAATAATAGAATAAGAATAAGAAAATAATAACAACAGCAATTATAATAATAGTACCAGTAATATTAGCGATGAAATACCACATGCAGTGAGAGAAGATGAAACGTATAACGAGAACGAAACATAACGATAATTATACAAATAATGTTAATACTAATATTGAATAGCAAGAAGCAATAACGCCAGCAACATTGAAAATGATCATGACCATAGAAGGAAAAGAAGAAAAGGAGAAAAGGAAAGCCGAATAAAGCACATAAAGAAGGATAAATGGAGTGAAGAAGAAAGAGAAGAGAAAGAAAGGAAAAAAAAAACAGAAATGTATTCAAGGCAGATTGCTGAAAGGTAAAAAGTTGTATACGCAGATAGATAAGACATCAAAGGCAGATAGATAGAAGGTTAAGAATAGATTAACAGAAAGACAATCGCACAGAAAGGTTATAAATTGGCTAATAGATTGATAGAAGTCGATAGATAGATTTTTAGCCAGATAGATGGACGAATAGAAAAATATAATTGTTCTTTGTCACTTTTCAATAAATACTTGACTAGATCAGTGTTTCCTAAAGTGTGGGCCATGGCTGGCAGGGGGCCATGTACCAGATTGCAGGAGACCATAAGCTGAAGATATGTATAAAAAACAAAGGAGTTTAGCGGGTACAACTTGGCAATGTTCGAGACAGTGTCAGATGTTGCAGAAAAGTGTGATGCTGCAACACAGAACCTGGCTGCCCAACATCATGAGGCTTTGGAAGAGGAATTATTAGGACTTCTCAGCTAGTAACTGATCCGTTGACACTTCAGGACTCAGGAGCCAAGTATGAAATTGAATCTCTCAGTATTTTGGCAATGACAGCTTCATATTCAGACTATATGACGGCTTTTCGACAGATATCATTTTCATCAACTTATTCCTGTGAGTGTGTATTCTCTCAACTACTCCACAAACGTATTCCTACATATTCCAAACTTAAACCAAGAATCGCGAAACTTGTTGATAATCTGCATCACATAATGGTTCATACGAAGGAAACATGAACCTGGCATGATTATTCAGAAGTAAATAGCGTGGTTGGAAGTGGGTGTGTGGCCATTGAAGGCTACTGAAGGCAGTTAATTGTGACTCCCTATGATAACATTTCTCTTCAGGATTATAAAGTCATCAGGTTTTCTCGCTTTCTTGTTCTTTCGTCAACCTGGGCCTGTCAACATCTGTCGCGAAAATTCGCATATCTAGTTTTGAAAATTTTGTAGTTCTTAAATCATTACAAACTAATATAGTTTACTTTGAGGTTAAGAAAATAGTTAGAGAATCGAAATATGATAAGCTATAACCTAACAATAATGTAGTAAGAAACATGAAGTAGAAAACAAATGCATGGAGAGACAATTAGCAGACACATACACAAATAACACAGTCAATTACAATTTGAATTCAATACTGGATATAAGTGTTCAGTTCATTAACCCAAACCAAGAAATTTAACCTAAAGTGAAGAAAATCCAACAGGAAAGCGGTAAGCCATCTGAAGAGGATAATGTAAATGCACTAGAAGACTTAATCAAAACATAAGATACAAATAGCGTAGTGCATTTGTATACTGTGTATATATGTTATAATTTAGAAAATAGGATGTTTCATGCCCTCAATTTATCCATTTATTACCTAAATTGCGCAGTCTATTCACAAAATTTAGGAATCGTTAATGTCACAAAGTAAGATATGTTAAGTGACTCGTTTCAATTATACCATCTCTAGAATCATACAAACAGGCTTCCGAAACATTGTGTATCATTGAAAATATGAGGAGACACCTGGCGCCCATGCCCCTCGTTCGTTTTCTGCATAATGAAGCTTGCAGCGACCATGGATAATTTGTAACTTCTAGACACATATTCTTGCACATATATGCAATTTATTTTTTCGTTTTCTTTTACATTTTTTTTAAGCACTGCTTAAAATTCGTGAAGAAACTATGAGTGGAAGCAGTTTCTTTCGATATTGCACAAGGCTTTTATACTAGGCCCGACCTTTTTCACTGTAATCATTACCGACCTGTCAAATATTGCAGACAGTTGTCTTGTACTGTAGTCCAATATAGCGATGACCTTCAAGTCCTTCCTGCTGCCACCGCAGACAATTTAGATTGACATTGATTGAACTGACAAAACTGATCAGATAGCCTCCGGGTATGTACAGTGGCAACGTATCGGCCTCTCATCCGAGCGGTCGGCGGTTCGCGCCCTACCTAGGCGCGAGAAGTTGCAATGGTCGCCTGGAGGTTAGTGCTGTGGCTTGGTACCACGGCGGGTAAGAACTAAGCTCAGCCGAGTCAGTACCAGCTGACACACATTAGCGAGTTGACATTAGTCGACACAGGCCGGGCTCCGCTCATATACATGGCCCGGGCGAGGCTTCTTCTTCTACAAGCTTTTCCCGACTACACGGGGTCGCTGAAATGGTCCCTCAATTGACGCCTCCAGTTGTTTCTATCCTAGGCCATCTCTGTTCAATCCTGCTTCCCTCATATCCCGGCTCACACAATCCTTCCACGTCATCCTTGGCCTTCCCACCCTTCTTCTTCCGGGGACTTGCATTGCTGACACACGCTTCAGGTAGTGCTCCTCTTCTCTTCGCTCGACATGTCCAAACCAAACTAATCTCCTCTCTTTCACTTTCTTGGCCACCTCAGTGACGTGCAGAGATCCTCTAATGTGACGGTTAGACGCTCTGTCCCTTCTTGTCACCCCGCAAGTCCATCGCAGCATTCTCATTTCGTTCACATTCAGGCGCTCCTCTTCTCTCTTGACGGTTTCCCAGGTCTCTGCTCCGTAGGTGAGTGCGTGTCTCATTACACTATTGCAGATCCTTCTCTTTAGCCTCATGCTCATTCTCTTATCCGTCATTACTCCAGCACACTTCCTCCAATTCCTCCATCCACTTTGTATCCTATTTGTAATCACTGCTTCCATCCCTCCATCATGCTGCACCTTAGACCCTAGGTACGTGAAGATATCAGTCTCTCTGAGTACCTCTAGGTCTATTTCCAAATCCACCTCCTGCTCATCCTCCTCTCCGAAGTGGCATTTCATGCATTCCGTCTTCATTCTGCTGATCCTGAGTCCTCTATCCTCTAACTTCTCTCTCCAACCCTCTAACATCTGGTTCAGTTCCGAGACGAGGCTCAGCTTCGCATATCAGACTTATCCTTACTCGTCAGGTTCTTACAGGAGCAAATATATATTTTTGACAACAATGGCTTTAAAATAAGTCCTTATAAAACACATTATAACTATGAAAGGCAGCCGATAATCACAGATACAATCATAGAATCTGAAGGTTGCCATGTCAAACCAAGTATTTCAGTTAAAGGTCTAGGAGTACACACACACATATATATATAACCTTTGAGATACACCTATATTCAGAAAAGTAATGGGCACATTCATATACCTGAACTACACACAAAGCACTACTGAAACAAGAATTGTGCAACAAACCTTATCTTTACTATCATTATTACTGAGTAGTGATGCTAAAAACGTCAGTGTACACCTTTTTTCATGTAGAACTTCGTACGCCGGGTAGCGGGGACGATGAACCAATCAGAGGCGTTTTGGGTTTTCAAACCCAAAGTTGCTGTTTGTGATTTACAGGATTCCTTCAGCATTGAAACTGGGAAATGACTACATTTCTTTGTCATCAGTGAAAAAAAATATTATATCGTGCAAAGAGATTTTACATTAATTTGGCCTTTCATTAATGTATTTTTTTTGTAGGATGATAGCCTAGCGTGCGAAAAACAACATAATTAATACAAAGATACATACCAGAAATGTGTTTAAACACGAAATTTAAAACACAAAATGCTTGTATGAGTCAATGTTTAAATTTGAGCGTCACCGTAACGCTATTCATAGGGTATTCATAGTAGCGCATAAAGGTATTTGGTATTTTCCAACGGTACGCAGGGCAGGGGTGCCTGATCACTGAAAACCATCATAAACACGTCATCTTTCCACAGCTGTGGAAAGATGACGTGTTTAGCGCCTGTGTTTATAGTTTATATGTCTTGTATATATGTAAATATACATATGTGTATTACTGACAAATATATACTCGAAACCGGTCAAATATATTTCTTGCATTGTGAAGATATTAATTCTCATTCATACCTTTTCTACTTTTGTCCTTGTTCATATAAGGCATACGAATAATAATAAGAGGGAAGATAAAGGTATTTTATGCTCATCCCCCTATTGTATTTTTAAACAAAACTGAAAAACTACACTAAAGAAATTCCCTTCAGTATCTGCCATTTCGAATCCTCTTTTTTCTTTTTTTTATTTATGTTTTAGTTTAGTTTTACTTTTTTTCATACACACACACGCACACGCATATATATGTAATGAAACTGAATTTTACTTATTTCTTAAAACTACAATTTCTTTAAAGTTTAGAATACAGAATGTCTATTTTTTCATTATTTTACAGTTGATATACGAAAATGGAAGACTCCCCAAATCATAAAGCCTTTCACGTTAGTTTAAAGAAAATGGCATTAATTAAGGCTAAAGAGTTTTGGCAAGGCAAGGTACACGGCTGTTGCGTGTGTTAGTTTCCTTCAGCCTTGTAGGGAGGACTGCCGCGCGAGGTGATCAGCTTATAGATAAGTAGTTACATCGATTAAGTCACAAGAGTATGTAAAAGCCAAATAGGTCTTGTTATATAGCAAACATAATGTGGGTGTGACGCATTTTTGATACAACTTCCTTGTTCAAGATTTCTGCATTTGAGAGTTTACATACATATACGTACATGGATATGTATATGTTTATGGTAGTGTCTGTGTATGCATACCAGCCTTACGTTCCGTTGGAAAATACGCAATAGTTTGTGTGCTACAAAGGATACACTCGTACAGAACGGTTTGTAGCTTTTTGTGTTTAAAATTTTGCATTGAAACACATTTACTATGGCTTATTTATGCTTGCATTTATAAATCTTCTTTTATCTTAACGTATCATATTTCCCATTGATATTTCAGTAGCTAGGCTTACGATCAATAATCATGGTCATGTTTCTTCATGTTTATCTTCGCTTCCTTGGCTGAACATGTAATGAAATACAAGTCAAGAAATGCCCACTAGCTTTCCATTAATCTTAAAAGTTCATAATGCAGATTTCCTACTGAAAACTATTCCTTGGCACTGTGCATTATCTCTTTGTAAACACTGTAGGCGACGTTTGGTTGGTGTACCACCTCTTGAGACCAAAGCGTTTGTGCGCCACACGAAGAATACAAGTATCGCGATGCAGCCGTTCTGTGTATCTATGTATTCGTATGTGTTAAGCTATCCTTATCTTTTCCACCGCCTGAATGATGTGCTCTTTGCAGACCTGTTCGTCGTTTATTATTAGCCTGGGTAGCCCTACTTCTAATTGCGTGTTGCTCTGTTTCGTGTGTGGCACCTTCCTCCATCCTACCTTCTCCTACACCCACTCTTTTCTCCTGCCTCTGGTCCTCTCCTCTTCCCCCACCTTGTCTTGCTGCTGCTGCTGCTGCTGCTCCTCCTCCTCCTCTCTCTCTCTCTTCCTCTCTTCTCTCTCTTCTTCTTCTTCTTCTTCTTCTTCTCTTCTCCTCCTCCTCCTCCTCCTCCTCCTCCTCCTTTGCTACGAACGCTGCTCATTCTCCTCCTAATGCTACTGATACTGCCCCTCCTCCTAATGAGATGCTGAGGGAAATAGAAGGAATTGTAGAGGATCAATATTGGAAGAAAAGAAGGAGTAATAGAAAAAAAGTTGAGCAAAAGAGGCAGAGGAATTGTTGAGGAGCGAGAGAAGAGGAGAAAAAGAAGAATTAGAAGACCAATAATGATGATAATGATGATGATAATAGTAGTAATAATAACAATAATGATGATGATAATGGTAGTGATAATAATAATAATGATAGTGATGATAATAATGTTATGAAAGACTAACAAGTGGAGCATCTATGAAAAGATCGCACTACGATTTTTAGTTACCCTGTAATCTGGCCAGTGCCATTTAAGATGATAATTATAGCCACCTACTTCCTAGGCAATTGATGTTCAGTTTACATAAATTAATTTTACATAAATGGCAATAGTAAAAAGTTCAGGTGATATGATGTAACCTCAAATATATATGTATTTGTATATATATACATATATGTACACACATATATATGTACATATATACACACATTGATATCTAGATCTGTATATTTATTTATATATCTATCTGTTTATATGTATGTATGTGTGCATATATATATATATATATATATATATATATATGTTTATATATTGTATATATATGTATATATATTGTATACGTCTATCTGTGTATCACATACACACCACACACACACACACACATGTAGATATAATATATATGCATATATACATATAGAACGTCAGATCGTTATTTTAAAAAATAAAACTAATCCTTTTTTCTTCATTACAAGATGGCGGTCGATAACCTGAAAAGGTTTATGTTTTATTTCCTCCTCCTCTTGCTGCTCTTCTGCTCAACGATACTGTTCTCTTTTTACACAAAAATAAGCAGGTTAGTAGGCGTGTGAGGACGAAGTGGTGAGTGAGTAGATGTGGCGAGTACATAGAGTGAGTCGGAAATATGGAAAGTGAGTGAAAACACCACGTGAGTGCCTAAAGTGAATGACTGTAGACACTAATGTAAGGTTATATGAGAGAGGAACCCAAAAGAGGCCACCCGTGAGGCGGGAGGCTTCAGGCTTAGGGGCCAAGGAAAATGAGGGGCCCCGTTCGCTCCTCGAAAAAGGGGGTGAGGGACCAAGCTGAAGGCACAGAACCCACACGACCTCACAAGCAAAACAATCCCCGGAGATGCAGGCCTACCAGGAGCGTGACCAATACGTAGATGCAAGATAAAAAAATACAAAATCTAGAATGAACAAAAACAACCGTGCAGAAGGCACTAAAGTAAAACAAGTTAATAAGTAAAAAACAATTGCCAGAAGGGCTTGAAAATGAATAAAAAATACGCCAGAAGGGCTTAAGAAAAACTGCAAAGCATGCCAGAAGGGCTTAAGACAGTAAAAAGAACTAATATCTACGATAAAACAAGTAAAAGGTAAAATGAGGGAAAAGTAAAAGCTGAAGTAAAAGCTCAAGTAAAAGACGAGTAAAAGGTGAGTATAAATAAAAGTAACAAGTAAAAGGACAAGGAAAAGATAAGTAAAATTCAGAGAAAGTAAAAAGTAAAAGTCAAAGGAGCACACATGGTTCGTAAAATAATAAAATAGCACGTCCAGCATAAATACACCTGGGCAAGTAAAAGGGGCAGTACAGCCTGGTTTCAGCATCCACGGTGTAGAATCGTGACAGGTAAATCCAAAGGGGTAGTCCAAACACAGTCAGAGTATCCACTTCGTTTATTTTGTCAAAAACATGGGGTTACATTAACTTCCGCGGACGGCGGCGTAGCACATAAATATAGTGAATCAATAAATAAGAATTGTTATAATAAAAGAAAATATGCAAAACATAAAACCAATAATAAAGACAATAAAACGTTAAAAGAAATCAGCCAGGAATTACAATTATGGTAAAAAAAAATACGTAAAAGAATCTGCTGCGATTCGTTAATAAAAATCTTAAAATAAGTAACAAGAGATAAAAAACGTATATAAAAAAATAGATGCAGTCGCAGCAGATGCGGATGTTCGTTATCAGCACATCATGAATCTTTGTACAGTATGCGTGGATAACGCAGAAACTCAGTAAAGGTTTTATTTAAAAATGTACAAAAAGGTGAAAACAAACGTAAAATACATGTAAAAACATAAGGGCCAGCGTAGTACAAAAATAAGCGTAAAGAGGCTGGCAGAGGGAAGTGGTCCGGCTGTGCTCGACTCGCCCTGTGGATTTCGGCAGGATGCTGGATAGGATAGGGATAGGATGGAAGCAGGAGAGGATAGGATTAAAGGTAAAGGGTAGGACAAACGGGAGAAAGGAATGGAAAAGAGGGAAATTAGCGTAGAGATAGAAGAAAGTGAAACAGCGAAGGAACAAGAAGAGAGTGCGAATAAGAGGGGTACGAGGGGAAATGCGGCAGGATACAGGGCAGGATAGGGATAGGATGGAGGGAGGATAGTATAGGAATAGAGATAAAAGGTAGAACAAGCAAGGAAAACGAGTAGAAGTGGGAGAAGCTATCGTGGAAGTAGAGAGAGGGGAGAAAAAACGAGGGGACAGAAAGAGGGTGCGAATAAAGAGACGAGAGGGATAGAAGGATCGGGGCTTGGAAGGGGGGGGGGGGTAGGTGATGGGATATGGAGGGGGGGAGGAGGTTGAAAACCTCACACTAAGCACAGAAAGTACATGAGTATACCCAAAGAAGACATGTAGTTAGCGAGTCCGCACAGCACTTACTACACGGTGGGTACATACGGAAAGTGAGTGGGAAGCTTGTGAGTGCATAATGCGAGAGAGTACATTCAGGGAGTATATAAAGCGGGTGAATACATAGAGTGAGTACGTATAGTAGTGCATGGTGAATACCTCAAGAGAGTTTTTACACATAGTGAGTACATGGCGTGTGTGAGTATGCATAGTAAGTACTATATATAAAGCGAGTGTGTATGCACAGTAAGTACTATATATAAAGCGAGTGATTATACACTATGAGTACTAT